GAAGATGGAAGAAGAAACCTCGTAGTGAGCGCCGCATCAGTGTGATGCCCCATCGCCGTCTGCTTAGGGTAAAGTGGTCACGTGACATCGCTACATGGTTACAAGCTGTTCGTCATTGCACTGGAGGTCGGTCCACCACCACCAGTCTAGTCTGAGCTCTCCATTGGCTTTGATTGGTGGGACAAGGTGGGAGGGGCCAAAGTTTTCTGCTGCTGATGAAGCCACAGTGTTAATGTTGGTAAGAAGTGTCGAGGACCTTTCCTTTCTCAAACTTAAAAACCATCGAACAAGAACAAACCTCTTTACTGGAAACGGGGGTCTCAGACTCGCAGCCTGGGGGCCACTTGTGTCACCCCTACCTGCTTACTGCTGCGTCCACGTCTGTCTGCATATACGAACACGGTGGGAGCAGCTGCTGCATGGGTTACTGTGGTCGTTAGTTCAAATCTGCGTTCACGTTTGTTTTACAGTATTTGAAGTTTAGAAACACAAACACTGCTTCCTGTTTGTGTTGCACTCCTTGAACAGCTGAGTGGCCCTCAGCTTGTTTACGTTTGACAGCCCTCCTTTAAAGTGTTGAAAGACAGTTTCGTATTTGTCCTCGTGGCTTTAAGCAGAGCTACAGATTAGCCTCTCACACAGTTGTTGCAGTGCTAATGGGAACAACAGGTATGTGTGTTTATGTGGACAAATGTCTCCCAACATACGTCCCAGTTAATTGTTTTCTTCAAAGCTTGTTTCATGAGTCGGTCCAACAGCAAAGATGTAACGACAGCAGCAGAGTTTGCCTCTCTGAGCTCAGCATGGAGGCAAAGGAGAGCAGCTCGCTGCCTCCACTGCTAATGTTGCTGTGAGAGTAAAGTGATAATAAAGTGGTGAACATCTTCTGGTATTTGCAGAAGTTAAATGTTAACAAAACAGTTTGAAAACTTGGCATTGAATGTGGAGGTGCTCTAAGAAAACTGAAGAGCTCCAACAAGAAGGGACAACAGGAAGTGACCCGGTGACCAACCAGGGAAGTAAGAATCTGCATCCACCTTGAGTAGTTTGTAGCTGCGTAGCATCAGATTCAAGGTGTGACACAGTTCCTTTAATCATGAAGTTAAAGTTAGAGGCAGGACTGCAGTCGAGAGGCGTGAAGGTTTCCTGTCGTCCTCACTGACGACGCTCTGTCACTTCTTCCATATTTTAGTGTTTTCATCACTATAATAATCTACTCACTTAGAGCTCAGAGCCGTTAAAGATGTGACTTTATCGTGTTAGATAAAGAAATGTTGGACCAATGACGTTTGTTTTAGAGAAATGTGGCTGAAATCTAGAAATGTATTTAGAGTTCTGACTTTTTCACATATTTACTGAAGTCTTCAACATTTAGTTTGCTGTGTTTTCTTTCTCAGCTGTTCTGAGTTTGCTCTGTTTGCTTTATCCAGGCTGCACCTTTCTCTGTGACCTTTATTAGACTTTGATGTACTCGTTTGTAAAATATAGAGCAGTCAGCTGTGCGTCGGCTGTCCAGCATAAAACCGGCTGATTTATGGTAAATTATTATAAGCTAGCTAACTTCCCCCCAGCTGCTTCACCAGTTAATGGGCCACGATCGCCGTTTGATGTTAAACAGCATAATGTGAGTTCAGCCCAGAATCAGTGATGACTGTAGATGCTACAGAAGATGAGCTAACGTGGTGGACTCCACATTTTAAAGCACAGCATGATCAGCTAATGCGCCTTAGCTCTCTTGTATAAACTGTATGTGTGCAAATCACAGGAAGTACAGTGCCGACAGGTTTCCATTGGCTAAAACCTGCAAGAGAAGCACCAGATGTGTTTAGGAAAAGCCCTGATTACAATAATCGACATTCGTGTGTACGACTAAACAGGAGCCCAGGAACAGTCGGAGTCACACTACTCCACCGAAAGTGTTTCAAATGATCTAAAGATTTAGGATTTACCAGTTTCCTTCAGTGAGGTCGTCTTTGTAACTTACATTATCCAGCTGTTTGATGTCCTGGATTGTAAGCCTGTTGTAACAGCGACTAACTGTCCCAAACTGAAGAGGCAGAGAGCTTTTGTTTTGTGTGCACCGTCATCCTGACTGCACACTGTAAAGGGTTAACAGGCGAATCGAGAGGCCGGCGCTTCCTTCAGCTCCAGCGTGTACAGGCGTGTGTTTTCTGCCCTGTAGCCGGGCAGCACACGTCCCACGCCTCGTTCTCTGCAGCATGTTCCTCGGTGGAGCCCCGCCAACACCATCAGCTCTGCAAACTGCTCCGAGCTATTTATGGCCAGACCGAGCCCAGCCCCCCCCAGGCACACACGCACCTCCATCGCTGCTGCAGAGAAAATCGACTCCTCATTCACGGCTTTCTGATAAACTGGCACCGGCCGGGTGATCCGGCTCGGCCTCGTTAAACGTCCGAGCTGTGAGTGTAATGTTTACGAGGGAGCTCGCTCGGCTTCTTTTCTGCTGCGATCGTTACCTGAGCTGACGTGACACGAGTTTGGTGTCAGCATAACTCGTGAGATTAACACAAGTCAATGTTGTTGTTTTTCACGAAGGACTCGGCGCTCTGGCCGCCAGAGCCACCGCGACCCTCGCGCCCGCTCTGGCCTCCAGAGCGACCGCGATCCTCGCACCAGCTCTGGCCGCCAGAGCGACCGCGATCCTCGCGCCAGCTCTGGCCGCCAGAGCGACCGCGATCCTCGCGCCATCACCGTCTCTGCTGTTCTGTCCTTCTGTCACTCAAACCACAGCGACTGCAGACTTGTTGACTCTGCTCCTCCCGCTGCAGGTGCCACTCTGAACATGCGACCAGCTCCGTTACCTCTGGAGGAAATGGAGTGGAGGCAAACCCCGCCCCCCCTCACCACCGCCCCCGGGACCTTCCGCTTGCGTCGGGGAAGCCGCTTCACGTGGAGAAAAGAGTGCCTGGCTGTGATGGAGAGGTGAGGTCCAGAGGAAAGAGATGATAGATGG